CCCTGGTCAGCCATCTGTGCAGACCAGTTGGCCATGGCCTTCGCAGTTGCATCCCAGGTAGAAGCACCCGTTGTGTTCCGACCCAGCACTCCTGCGCGTACATATGCCCTAACTACAGCCAGACTCCCTTCCCACCTGTTTCTGTCCGCTCTGTTTAATTTGTTAAAGTTTTGTAGCCACACCCTACTCAGTTGCTGTCATGACCCGCAGTTTAAAAACACTAGCCAGACAGCCTGGGTGCTTGCAGACATCATGAGACACTGGTCACCAAAAAAGTGAAATGAAGTGTGTGCTGTGCACGTGAGGCCATCTCTGCCACTCCCCATAGAAGCTGCTGCCCTGACGCCTGGCCCTTGCCCTACTCTGCTCTGATGGCACCAAACTCTCAGAGTAGGCAGCAGCTGCGCCCCAGCCGCCATGTAGTGCTTTGCCTGGGCTCTACTCTGCTGCCCTGCCTCTCTCCACATCATCCGTAAAATGGCAACACCGTTTCCCTCTGACTGCACAGGAGGCCCACAGCACATGGCAGCTCTTGTCATTGTGTGCACCAGGGTTTGCTGGTTCTGGGTACTGGGGACCTGGAAACTGCTGCTGTAGTGGGTGGGTTGCACAGGCAACTTTCCTGGCTGCTCAGACCCCCCAGGAGCAGCCATCCCATGGCTGGGGTGAGTTCAGCAGAGGTGCCTGGGAAGACACCGGGGAGAGGTCCACGTGGGGGAGGTCAGCCCGTGGCACTGGAGGACTCCGAGTGATGGCCTTTGTCCCTGCTGGCCCCACCTGGAGCTTGGCACTCCACGGAAGGCCTGGCTGGGAGCTGGGAACAGGCAAGCCTGCCCCTGCGCCAGGGAGACCAAAGCCCGTGTCTTGTCTGCAGGGGCTGCCCACTGCAGCAGATGAATGGAAAAGTTATCTGTATGCCTTCTTTCTATCTAACGCTGAGGTCTGAAGGGAAGCAAGAGCTTCCTGCTGCTCAGAAATCCCCCAGCCTGGCCTGAGACACAGACTGAGGTGGCTGCACTTTGGTGTATGAAATCCTCCTGCAATCCTGAACACACATGAGTAAGCTGTCATTCTTGGGGGAGAAGCAGCTGAGTTTTGTGCCATATACTCAGGATATTAAAATGAAGCTACAAACCGAGTACAAAGTGGTCCTTGTATAAACATTGCAGCATGTCCCCAAAACTGTTCCCAAGTATCTATCACTGGCCAAACCATCTCCAAGTCCTTCTGCCTGTGGGCTGGCCAGTCCCTGCAATGGGGCTGAGAGAGTTGAGGGGAGTCTGGGGAGGGTCTGGGTGGGCCAATGATGGCAGGTAGCCCGGGCCTGAAGCTGCCCGGGAAGAGCCTACAGAAGGCAGAAATTTCCATCCCAGCCAGAAGCAGCCATGTGAATGCATATGAGGGACGGGACGCTAGCTTATTGCTTGGAGATGTGTAACGTCGCCCCAGATGTCTTCGATTATCACACGGATTCGCTCGGCCAAAGATGGTAGTGTCCCTGGTGGGTGTCCCCAGGCAGCCAGGAAGGAAGGATCCTGCATTTTCGATTGAGCCAAAGTATGACCGAATTCTCCATAGTCAGCTTGCATCAGAGGACGGATGGAGCACACACACAGGAGCAGGAGGGAGATGATTTATAAAAGAGATGGCTGTTGTCCCTGGATTCTAGAATGGCTTGACTCTGAATCACTTGTGCATGTAGAAACTCTGAGGGGGATTTAAAAAAAAAAAGCAAAGAAAGATAGGGAACTGAGAGCACAAAAATAGACCTTAGCCCTGTGCTCACAGGAGCAGGAGGGAGATGATTTATAAAAGAGATGGCTGTTGTCCCTGGATTCTAGAATGGCTTGAGTCTGAATCACTTGTGCATGTAGAAACTCTGAGGGGGATTTAAAAAAAAAAGCAAAGAAAGATAGGGAACTGAGAGCACAAAAATAGACCTTAGCCCTGTGCTGAGTGTCACAGGGCAGGATGGAGCTCCCGGCTGGGTGTATACTTCCTTCTCCAGAAAGCGGATGAGTTTAACACAGAAAATATAGTTGGTCTTCTAGAATCTGAAAGATAAAGCCAGCCTGGCTGAGGAAATCCAAACACCTACTATCCTACACTTTCTGTTTTATTAAGAAACATTTGGAGAACTTTTTTGGGTCTTGTCAGCACTGGAGAAGAGTCTTGTTTTTATTGTTCTAGAGGATTCCAGCATTTGGTACATTCTTGTGGGCTTCCTGGTTTTTTAAATAGTTCGATTTCTGTTTTGTTTTGTTTTATTTTGTTTTTTAATTTCAGCACAGTCTAATAGAATTTTCTGCTTGGTGGTGCTGTTGCAGGTTGCCCTCTGATGTGGCACCTTTCAGGAATCTGTGTCCCCCACACTCCTGGCTCTGTCCTGTCTGTTCAGACCTCCCTTGGATGTTCTAAACAAACCATTCTCCTTTGTTCACTCTGAGGAGCCTAAATGAAAAGGCTGTGCTATCCCAGGCCAAAGTGGGCCACGGCCCCATGCAGCTGCATTCCCCCGTGGATGTGTCTGCATGCTGGCCCCAAGCGGACACAGCCTGTAGCATGGTAGGATCCCCATTTTCAAAATGGGAAAACTGAGATCCTGAAGGCTGAGTGCCGGAGCCAGGACAAGAGAGCAGACTGCTGGGCTCTGAGTTGCTTATCTCTCTGACTTGGGAATTTGTTGGACCAGTGCCCAGAGCCTTAGTTACCTTCCAATTGGGGCTTAGGTGTGCCCCACCATCCTGACCAGCTCTGGGGGGGATGTCCTTCATGTAGGAGTATACCAACGGGCAGCTGTTGATACCCCCTCGCATCTGGAGCCTCCCAAGGACCAGGCACCTGGGTGTGTCTGCTCAGGCTCTATCTCTGTCATCTTCACACAACTGGGTTTGAGGGGGTCACCCTCAGACGAGGCACAAATCCCCTGCTTTGCCTGCTCCAGGCAGGGTTCCCGCAGAGTCTGTGACTTTGACCCAAATCTTTCCTCCACCCCCCGAGAATCACCTGAGGTATTATCTGGTGCTTTCTGCACTGTTGACACTGTTTATGGTGTTTTGCAATCAGAAAAGACAGGAGATTAAAAAGTGCCAGGATGGGGACTTTGGATTCCAGCAAAGCATCCAGGGATCCTGAGCGTTTACATCTGTTTCTGTGGGGTAGCTAGTGCTGCCTGTCAGGCCACATAGCCCAGCTTTTTGCTCCACACCTAGGGCCCGGGTCGTCCACCCCCGTGCTCTGTTCCACAGAATAGGGGGCCTCTAAAGGCAGGCGCGTGGCAGCTTCTGTAACATTTGTTGAAAGGCTGTACCATTGGAGTTTGGATTTGTGGGGGAGGCCCCTGTAAAGGAAGCCGCAGCAGTGGCCCTGGGCTCAGATCTGCTGGGATTTGTGTGGCTGCAGGCTGACCCCCACGGGAAGCTGAGGATGAAGTTAGACCCTGTGCAGAGCTGGGCTCTAGCCAGTCCACAGGGGCAGCTCCCACTTCCTCAGCTCCTCCTGGCTCTGTGGTCACCTAAAGAGGCAGCAGCATTCCAAGTCTGGGGCCTGACAGTGTCCCTGAGCCAGTTTTGTCACCATCAGTGTTGTGACTTGGACATGACCCCATGAAGGGGCTGGGTGGGCTGGTGGGTTCCTTCTCTGTGTCTCCTGTGAGCAGCCTCTGGTGTGCCAAGGTGGGAGAACATGGGGAGGGGGTGTTCCATCTGTTCCCCTCTTTGCCTCTTATCTGGGCACCGCCCTTGCCTGCTTGGGTGACCCCGTGCCAGAGGGGCAGGGGACACATCAGTGTCATGAGAGCCAGACCTGGACCCCACAGATCTTCCCATGTCCTGTCTCATTCTACCTCAAGTGAACACGGTGGGATTCTTATCTGCCCTTGACCAGAGAGGACCCACGGCTCTCTGTGCAGCAAGAGCTGGTCCTGCTTCTCCTTCCCAGCCCCGCTGCACCAGGGGCCCCTGTCACAGGGTGTCCAGAGGGGCTGGCTCAGCTGCCATCCTCCTGACTTGGTAGCCTCCCTGTCTGTCCCCCTACCATCCTGCCTCTGCTGGCTCCCAGCTCCCAGGCCTCTCCTGTCCTCCCCCACTGCAGAGCCTCCCCATTCTCCACACCCCATCTGTGCCCCAATGGTCCCTGCTCTGCCGCTGGGGGGTGCAGGGGTGCCAGGCAAGCAGGGTGCGGGGAGTCAGGTGGCAGCAGCAGCAGCATCCTAGCCCCCGGGGGTGTGTGACCAGATGGCACAGGAAAGCCTTGCTGGACATAAGCTGTCCTCTGGCATTTCCTCCCTGCCCTTCCCCCAGGCCCCAGCAGGGCAGGTCAGTCCCACGCCAGTGGGGAGAGGGATAGTGTCGGACACCTTCCTCTGGCTGGGGGGCCTCAGAGCTGGAGCAGAGGCAGCAGCCGCCTGCTGAGCTTCCACCAGATGCTCAAGGGCCTGTGAGACGCGGGTGCTGCACTCGGCCCACATTCTCTGCTGGGCGAGTACATCTGTCCCAAGGCCACGGCCCAGCTCCTTTCTCCTCTTCTCCCTCTCATGAGCTGAGCATTGCCTCAGCCTGTGCTGGGTTTGGGGCAGACCTGGGAGAGGCTGTTGGGATGCTAGTATGGAGGCCAGCTGGCAGGTGGGGTCCTGGGGACATTTCTGCCTCCCTTAGTTCTCCAGGTGAGTCCCCAGAGTTGGGCCCACTGAGGCCAGGCCCTGGGGGGCAGGAGTCATCTGCGCAGACAGCTCCCCTGCCCTCAGCCTTCCCTACTTAGGCTGAGCCCAGCACACCTGTTTTTCCTGGGGACAGAGGTCTCCATGATGGTTCTGTGTTTCTTTGCTGCTCATGCACCTGTGGGAGATATCAGGGCAGGAGCTACCTACACTGATTGTGTCGCAAGGTGGGGTGGCCTCAGAACCCTGCTGCATCTAGGGCTGAGGCAAGCTGCCCTTGAGTCCCAGGGAAGGCAGTGGCTCCCCAAGTGCCCAGCTGTCTCATGCACTCCTTTCTCCGCAGCCTGTTCGACATGGGCGGTGAGTATTACCGCTATGCTTCCGACATCACCTGCTCCTTTCCTGCCAATGGCAAGTTCACTGCGGACCAAAAGGCTATCTACGAGGCGGTGCTGAGGAGCTGCCGTGCTGTCATGAGTGCCATGAAGCCAGGTGAGGGCACGGGTGGGCGGGGCCTGCTGGGGAGGACCCACCTGGCGGGGGTGGGGTGGGCACTTGTGTGGCAGGCGCCTGTAGGAAACAGGCCCTGCATTCTGTGACCTGAATTAATCTTTCCCCCTTTACCTGGCTGATAAGACTTGATGGTGTCAGGTCTCCAGGGTTACTTCTAGGAAACAGGGTTGAGTACCAAGCAGGGACAGAGCCGAGAAGCGGGGAGCTCAGCCCAAGGGCACCCCATGTCCCATCCAGCTGCCTCCACCTGCACATCTCCCAGTCCACACTGGCGACTGGTTGTCATCATGTCCTGTGCCCCCTCTCGAAGCAGAGTCCACTCCAGGCAGGGCTCGGCCAGCTTTGGACACTGGCATGTGGTTAGACACTGGAGCAGGTTAAAGCACCACTCAGAGCTCTGGGACTTTAGACAGAAAGTTCTTCCTTTGGGTGGCTCGTCCTTTGTCTGTAAGTGGGGAGGTGGCAGCTATGGAGGATGTTAAACTATGAAAGGCAGCCACAGCACTGCCTGGCACTGTCAGTGCTTTGTAGTGGTCACTGGCATGGCTGTGACAGTGGGGTCAAGTCTAGGCCTGGGCCTGGCATTTCCCTCTCTGGCAGCCAGCCTTGGTGACATGTGCCCCCCACCCCTCCACCTTCAGTATATCGCCTCCACCCTCCCACTGGTCTCCCCCTTGTCGTCCCACCACATCGTGGTCATGGTCCAGCAGGGCAGGCAGATGAGGGCCTCTGGAAGGGAAACAGTGTGCCCCCAGCAAGGCTAACTCGCTGGCATTCCCTCTGGGAAGCTCTAGCTATCTTCTTATACTGGTTGGCTGCGCTCCTTGCTGGTGAGCCCCTGGGCCCTATGTCACCCTGAGATGAGTGGAATTCAGAACCTGCAGGATCAAACCCCAGCTCTGGTGTTGACTCTTTCTGCCCTGCAACAGTAAGAGACCCTTTCCCAGCAGCGTTGGGAGGTCCCTGACTTGTCAAATTTCCTGGAGGGGAGAATTTAGGGACACGTTCTTGCTTCAAGAAGTAGAAAAAGCAGGTCTTGGATGGAGCCAGAGCCAAGGCAGCACAGAAGTTTAGTGGGTTTTTTTTTGAGGGAGTCGGAGTAAGCTCATGGCCAGAATCATCTGGCCAGGGCCTGCCCTGGACATGCAGGCTCCAGCCACCTTCTTCAACGTGGAGTCCCTCCATAAGGGTCGAAGTCAGCACCTAGTTGCTGGGTTCAGGTTGGAGCCTAGCTTCCAGCCCCTGATTCCTCCCATCCTCACTCACCACCTCCCACCACCGGCCATGCAGTCTTTCAGAGAGGCAAGCAGCCCCCTGCAGACCTTCATGAGTAGGGGCAGCTCAGGCATTCCCCATAAGCCATGTGGGGTGTGGTCACTGTGGGCAGAAGAAATGGCACCGTAGAGCCCCACAGTGAGGCTTCAGAGTCCAGAATGCAGGCCTGAGACTTGGATCCAGCCCCCGCTCAGCCCCCTGCTGGCAGTGTGCCTTACTCAAGCCCTTCAGTAAGGAGCACAGTAGTGGTCAGCATGGTCAGGTCGATCAGGAAGCAGGGACGGGGCCTCCTTGGACCCAAACCTGCCACCAGGCCATAGCAAAGGACAGAATTGCCTCCCACACTCCACACTGAAGATAGAGCCGGAAGGGCCGGGACTTGGAATGAAGCGGAGGCCTGGAGGGTGTTTGGTGGGATGTTCAGCAGGTGGGGGGTTAGGAAGACATTGTCTCCCCTGGGCTCTGTTCACTTCAGAGCTCCAGGCTTCCAGTCCTGGATGCTGCTTACCCCTTGCCCTCTGCTGAGACAGGGTGGCTGAGTCCTAGCCGACCCCAGCTGAGACTTGGCTTAAAAAAAGAAAAGGATCCTGAGCCCCAGAACTCAGGATGTGAGTAAAAGCACCAGCATGTGGCCTCATGCAGACCCAGAACTTGATGGCTCAGCGCTTGGCTGAACAGTCCCCTGTGACCCCACAGCCAGTTGTTGGGATGAGTTACAGCCGCGATCACTGGGCCAAGTGTTGCTTTGGAGGGTCCTCAGCAACTGTCGTTTCCAGAAGAGGCAAAGAGGGAGCAGGCCTTCCGGATGGCCACAGTCTAGCCCTAAGAGCCCCTGCCAGAGGCTGAGCCATGGAGGGATGCTGGGGGCAACACCAGGCCCCAGCCCACACCCGCACTTGTGCAGCAAGAACAGAGCATGATCCAAGCACAGGAACTCAGACATGCCCCAAAAGGAAGACGAAGGAAAACCTTAAAGTAAATAAACTCCTGATGGGATGACGGTGTTGACTGGACTCTCCTGGTTTAGCGGCTGCAGAAGAAAACAGCATTTTGTGCTGAAGTGTTTATTTAAAAAGCAGCAGCCTCCACTAAGTATTAACAGGGGGGGTCTCCAGCACCGCTTGTTGCATGGAAACAAAAGCACAGGTGTGGCCAGTGTGCCCCACTTATGTAAAAGGAAGTGGGGCAAGAATGTGGATTCGCACGTGCTTGTAAAATCCACGAAGGAGGTGCAAGGAGGGACGGGGGAGAGTGCCCACTATGTCCCTTTTCATTCTCTGACCTTCAGACCACGGAGTCCATCACCTATTCGCTGTTTCATCGAGTGGGCCAGCAGCAGTCACCGAGGGGTGCCTCTCCTCTCTGTACACCAGGGATGAGAAGTTCTTGCTCCATTTCACATACCATCAGTCAGCTGGGTGGTCAGGACTGCAGATGCAGGGGGAGGCCCTGGCGGTGGAAGTGGGCCGCGGCGTGCCGTCCTGCACCTGCCGCCGAGGGCCCTCTGCTGACAGCCTCTGGGGCGGGTGGGTCTTTCCTCACCACGCTCCCCGCGGATGCTACTCTCTGCAGCCATATGGTGGTGGCCTGTGTCATTACGTAGGTTGAGCAAGCTGTGTCACCTTCGTTTTAGTGATGTCTTCAAACATCCATGGACAGGTGTGAGATGTAGAGGTCCAGGAAGTCAAAGCCCCAGGCTGGAAGGGGCTGCTGCTCCCAGCAGCCAAAGTGCTGCCTGTGAGGGGGCCGTGGCCCACCCGACCCCAGTGGGCCCCGTGCACCTGAACATCATGTCAAGGAGCACAGTAGTGGTCAGCATGGTCGGGTCGATCAGGAAGCAGGGACGGGGCCCGCTTGGACCCAAACCTGCCACCAGGCCATAGCAAAGGACAAAATTGCCTCCCACACTCCACACTGAAGATAGAGCCGGAAGGGCCGGGACTTGGAATGAAGCGGAGGCCTGGAGGGTGTTTGGTGGGATGTTCAGCAGGTGGGGCGTTAGGAAGACATTGTCTCCCCTGGGCTCTGTTCACTTCAGAGCTCCAGGCTTCCAGTCCTAGATGCTGCTTACCCCTTGCCCTCTGCTGAGACAGGGTGGCTGAGTCCTAGCCGACCCCAGCTGCCCACACACCCACCCACAGGAAAGCCTGCTGGGGCCTGTGCAGGATGTGGGTGGCACCCCCACAGTTGGTGTCCTGGCCAGCTCAGTGACCCAACTCAGCAACGTCAGTTGTGTGCAGAAAGTGGCCAGTCCTATGGACAAGTCCTCAAGGCCCCCCCATCTCACTGAGAAAGGCCCAGATCTGGGTCCCCGCATTCACCTGATAACTTGTCCCGAGGGGCTGCCTGGCCAGGCCAGCTCTGAGGGCAGACACAAGGCCTCAGGCCTGGCCGGGGGTGGTGGGAGTGACCAGACCAAGGTCAGCTGAGCTGGTGTCTTCAGAACATACGAGGCTGGTCCTCCCCCATCCCCACTCCTGCCCACATCTGGGCTTTTCTGCCTAGCGCTGCGTGGCACAGGCTGAGCCTGCTCTGGTGCCTTGAGGATCCCATGCGTGAGGGGATGGAGCAAAGCCCCAGGCAGCACCTCCACACACATGCATGCTCTACCACCCGGACTGAGATTGTGACGCACTGATGGTCCCCGAGGGCTGAGCTTACTCCAAATGGGTCACACAGAGTGCCGGCCTGGCAAGCCTGTTCTGTGCCCACAGAACTGCTCTCCAGATGGGGGCAGGTCGCCTCCCCATAGCACCATGGAGGCCGTGGCCAGGTCAGCCCCCTGCCTTGTCCCAGTGGAAATGCCCCTGGTTTGTGGGTTGAGCTCCAGGGCCAAGACAAACCCCCACTGAGACTGCCCGACTACTTCCTGTGACCTTCCAGGGAAGAGTAAATAAAGGCAAGCAGGAAATCACACAACGATGCCCAGAGGAGAGGCAAAAATTAATGATCAGGATACACATGGAGCCTGGCGGCTACAGCCCCAAGGGAACTGAGGAATGCAGGCCTTGGCCCCAACACGGGGCCCGAGGGGGAGCATTCCTCACTGTCACTCAGAGATGGAAGGAGGGCTGGACTCAATCTGACGGGATGCTGGCGGTCCAGGAGTCTGCACGAGGGTGGCCAGGCCAGGCAGCTGCAGCACCTGGGAGGATCCATCCATGGGAGGCTATGGACGTGTATTGGCTCTCGCCAGATGGGATTGAAGACCACCATAGCTTCTGTGTCAGGCAAGCAGCCCACCCTGTGCAGTCTGCCCTGTGTCTGTGGGCTCCAGCAGTCAGGAGGGGAGGAGGGAGGAGGTGCTGCTGGGGTGAGCCAGGTGTCTGAGCTGGCCACAGCTGCAAGGCCATTCCCATAAGCAACACAACTGTCCTGGTCCTGCAGACTTATGGTCCTTCCTGCCTCCCTGAAGCCTGGTGAGACCCCGACTCTGAGGTCCATGCACACATCGCCTGCAAGCCCCCAAGCCTCTTGCAGTCTGGCTTCCAATTCCCAGCACCTTGCCCACCCTGGCCTCCCCCTGCCCTGGGCTGCTGGCCCTCACCTCCTCCTGCCCCTACCCCCATGTGCCCCCCACCACTGGGGTCCCACTCCTATCATGGTCTGTAAAAGCAGTTGTGTCACATGCTATGTGACACCTCCATTATTCCATGCACAACCTATGTGGTTGTGTGCAAGTGTGGTTGCGTGCAACACCCGCT